GTGTGTGTGTGTGTGTGTGTGTGTGTGTGTGTGTGTGTGTGTGTGTGTGTGTGTGTGTGTGTGTGGATGAACATGCACGCAGGCAAGCATACGTAGGCAGGCAACAGCAGCAGTGTGTACCTTGGTGGCGCTTTGCTGCGTGGCGCTGACGGTGGCGGATACGCTGGTGCCGCTGTGCACGCACGCCTCGCAGAACCAGCTCGTGCGGGTTGGCACCTCGTCCATCTCCAGCAGGGCACAGTAGGCATGAAACGGCTTTGAGCAGCCTGTGCACTTCAACACCTGGCCAGTTTGGTTGCAGAAGCTGCACCGTCCTTCCTCCAACCGCAGCGGCTGCTGTTGTCGCTCTTGTTGCTGCTGCTGGTGCTCTCCCGATTGCTCTCCCGATTGCTCTCCCGACTGCTGCTGCTGCGGCTGCTGCTGCTCTTGTGTGACTGGCGCTGTCACTGACAACGCTCGAGAAAGGGAGCGGGAGGGCGTTGCAGTGGCAGACGCACGCGATGACGTTGCTGCAGGCGAAGACTGGGACGACGAGCTGCGTGTCACAGCTGCGCTCGCTGGCTGTTGCGAAGCACTGCCTGTGGCGCGTTCCGCGTCACTCGCCGCTGCAGGCGCTCCTTGCTCCGCCCCGCTGCTGCTGCTGCTGTTGTGCTGCTGGTCCTCCCCTTCATGGTCCTCATGCTCGCCAGGGTTCGGCTCGAGTTTGGCTCGCTTGGGAGCGTTGGTCGTGGCAACGCCACTGGTGTCTTGGTTCCCTTGTTCTCCTTGCTCTCCTCTGCACTGGCTGCACAGCCACTCCGCATCGGACTTGAGCTCCTCCGCACTGATATCACAGCACCCAACATGGTACGCCCTTGGACACCCATCACAGCACACCAGCTCCCCGTATGCACCGCACACCGTGCACTGGTCCTCATTCATGATGTCCTCGCCCAGCATCTCTCTGCTGGTGGTGGGTGTCGGACACGTCGCAGCACGTTTGTTTTGGTGGTCTTGCCGCGCAATCATGTAACCTCACATCAATTTGTGCTGTAAGAAGAGGCGCGGCCCGCTTTCCGTTGTGCTCTTGTGCTGATGATGACGATGGTGAAGGAAGGCAGCGTGCGGCTGACGACGTGGGTGCTGGGCCTCTGCTTGCTGGCCAGCGTCGGATACATCCTCTCCAGGTGTGAGTGAGTGAGTGTGTGTGAGTGAGTGGGTGGGTGAGTAAGTGAAGGAGTGAGTGTGTGAGTGTGTGTGAGTGAATGTGAGTAAGTGAAGGAGTGAGTGTGAGTGAGTGTGAGTGTGAGTGAGTGTGAGTGTGAGTAAGTGAAGGAGTGAGTGTATGTGAGTGAGTGAGTGAGTGAGTGAGTGTGTGTGTGTGTGTGTGTGTGAGTGAGAGTAGGAGAGTGTGTTTCAAGGAGGTTTTGTTCGCTTGCTCCTTTGCTTGCTTGCAAGCAACGACTTCGTGCGTGGCTGCTTGTCTGAGCCATGCATTGCACGATGATAACACCCCAGCACCCCCGCCCAACCACCAAGATCACGCAGACCACGATACCTGTCGCTTGAGCTCTCCCCTTCCCGCACACAAGAAATACATTTATTCACACTCATTCACACGCACGCACGCACACACTCTCCCACTCTCCCACACACTCCCCTCCCTCTCCCACACTCACAGTGAATGCGCTGCCGTTGATGGAGACAGTGTTGCCGCTGCCGCCGCTGCTGCTGGCGGTACACTGAATCAAGAACAGCGCCGGGGCGCCGCCGGGGAGGGTGTGCTCCTATCCTCGGACGCAAAGCAAGACTCCGTCCTCTCACAGCTGTTTCTTGACCTCCAATCGCAAGCAAAGTCAGTGTCTCGAAGTCCTTCCAGCACGCCTCATCAGTGACATCTGCCACCCCACCTGCCCCAGCTTTCCAGCACATGGTTGCACGTGCATCCTGGCATCTCTGTTCTTTCCTCTTCATCTCACCATTCGTCATCGCCACCATCACCATCATCATTAGGTCATATCGCACGGAGCTGGCCGCAAGCTCAAAGCAGATTGATTCCCTCCAACAAGAGAACGCGGTTCGTCGTGTGGTGGCCTCTGCTCATCATTGGCTGGCTGCACATGTTTGAGTCCGGTCTGGTAGCCTGGCGTCCCGTCACAAAAAGCATGTTCGCTTTTCTTCTGGTTCCTGTGCTTATATGCTGCCATGCAATCCTGCATTGCATTGCTTGTACAGCATTTACGGGAAGAGCTGGCCGCTGTCAAGCAGCACCTGACGGCAGTCAAGGTAAGCCTACATGGGGCAAGCCAGCCTGCGCGCTGTTCCTCTGCCTTGATTCACTCTATCTTGTTTGCGCCCGTACCGTTTGATGCATCACAATCCTGCTCACCCTCATGTTTGTTTTTGTTGGATCCGTGCAACACCCACACCATCGTCCCGCTTGCACGACAGAACGCCGTGCAAGTGACTGATCCCAGCGACAAACAGGCGGCTGCAAGTGACACGCCAACCACCCCGCCACCCACAGCTGCCCCGCCGGTTGGACAGCTGACCTTTCACGCACACTGGGAAGAAGTGCCGGAAGAAGACTGGTATGCGCACGATGCTCTGCTACCTACAGCACAGCACTACAGCCGCAGCGGACACAACAACAGATGTCGAGATGTCCTTTGTCATGAAGCCTCGTCCTTTCGTTCACACACACATACACGCACACACACACACGCACACACACACACACACACACACACACACACACACACACACACACGCACACACACACACGCATTTGCACAACAGGGACTCTTTGCTGCGTCGGCGTGGCTGCAAGGAGGTTGACTACATCGACAAAGTGCACGTGAGCAACCCCTTCTCGTGACATGCACCTCCTGTCACATTTAGCTGGAGCCATGGCATCATACATCATGGCTCATTTTGTCCCACGTGGACGTGACATGACGCTGTTCTGGCCATGCGTGCCTTCGCTTCCTTTGCAGTGCTGCAACCCAAAGTACTTCCACAACTTCACGACGCCAATGAAGCACATGCGCTTTGTGAGCCCGTATCCGTTTGCCGCCTACAAGCTCGAGCGCCTGATTCGTGGCGGCACCATCTCCTTCATCGGGGACTCCATCACCTCCCAGGTCAGACACACACGCCACGCCTTGTTGCGTAATCGTTGCTTGCAGGCAGGCGCCACTTCACAGCGCAAGCTTCTCGCTGTTGGGTTTTTCTCTCTCTTGCACAAATCTGCTGCAACCCCACACTTACACAACACACACACACACACACACACACACATACACACACACACACAGATATATGAAGCGTTGCGGGCGAGAGCACATCGCGAAAAGTGAGTTTCGACAACAACTCAATGTGGCGGGACACCAAGCATCCATGCCATGCTCATCACACAAAGCAACTGCTCACGCATATGCACATGCGCACGTTAGGTACGTCACACGTCCTTTGGAGAAGCTGCCGCCATTGGCACAGGCCGGTCTCCAGTATATCAACAACAAAACTGGCCACCCAGCCCTCGCATTCACAACCCTCCTCTACAGAGCAGACAAGGTGTGCCTTTCTGCGCTCTCTGCTTCTGCGGTTCGATTTCCTCTCTTCCTCCCCTCTTTCCCGCTGCCGTCTCCTTACTATTGTACGCCGCCCCTCTGTTAGGCTCCTTTGCACACAATGTGCGCCTTGTTCATCTCCAAGAGAGTGCTTCCCTGTGTTCTGTTGGTTGTCTCACGCCCACTCACATCCCATCATCAGGCAGAGAACATTGACGAGTTCATTGAGGCCAGCATTCCTCAGCTTCCGTCCACCGCCCAGCACAGCTCAAACCGCCCCCAACACATTATCGTGAGTTCATGATGTTCGTCGTCTGTGTGCGTGCGTGTGCGTGTGTGCGTGCGTGTGTGCGTGTCTAAGTCTCTCTCATTCGCTCTCTCGCTCTCTCTGTGTGTGTCTCTCTCTCTCTGCATCTCCCCATCTCAAGTAGTCAAGTGTCATCCTGCTCTTTTATGGTTGTTGTCGCTCACAAGCATGAAATGGCTTTGGGGTGCTGTGACACCGCCGGTTGTTTGTTACTTTGTGTTTATGCTGTTCTGTTCTATGATCCCAGGTTGCAAATATTGGGCTCCATTTCTCGGACACACACAAGGACAAGTCGGAAGAATTTCGCGTGCAGGTTGACAAGTTTGCACGTGCCCTCTCCACCTTCAACAAACACCCGCTACATTTCGGGTTCTTCAGAGACATTACCCCGCAGCACTTTCAATCCCGAGCTGATTCAAGCAAGGTGTGTGTGTGTGTGTGTGTGTGTGTGTGTGTGTGTGTGTGTGTGTGCACGCGTATACACCCACGTGAATTGTACGAATCCGTTGTCATGATTTGAACACTTCTTCGCCGCGTTTGATGGGCGCCTTTGCCCGCCGCCATAAGCTCATGAACACTTCTTGATTCTCGCATGCTGCTGTTTTGTTTGCAGCACCAAGGCGATTACTTCAAGCGGGATCGAAGCATCAACCACTGCGCACCCTGGTGAGGGGGCGAAGAACAGTCTCATATGCACCCATCATACTCACGCATGCATGTGATTGTGGTGTTTGGTTGTACTCGAAAGTTGATACGTGGGTTCTGGACTCTCTTCGCTGCCCCCGCGCTCGTCGTCGCTCACGTTCTTTCATTCTTCGTCCAATTCACTCCTTTTGTTGATGCATACGTGCATGCAGGCAAGAAACACAGCTGCAGTCCCATCGGAACAACCTGAACAACGAATATCTGATTGAGACGGCTGCACGCTATGGCCTCGTCGTGCAGCCCACAACCGAGTTCCTCGCACCACGTTTCGACGCCCACCTGTACGCACTCATGCGTGTTTGCTGTGTTGGTCATGGTTTGCTTGTCTTTGTTAATTTGTTGCTATTGCCTTGTTGTTGGCCTTGGGTTGTTTTCTCTTGATTTGTTTTGTGATGTGCGGTGCACGGCTTCGATTACATGCTCACGTGTTTGACATGCAAATGCCAATGTGCTCCGCCATTCATATGCATGCGCCGTGTTGACAGGGAAACGCGCAACAATGACAAAGGCAACGTGCTTGACTGCACGCACTGGTGCGCCCCCGTGTTTGACGTGTTTGAGGACGGCCTGATGGCCGTGCTTGCAAGCAGATTCAGCGTCGACTGGCTCCACCCATGAGCAGAAACAAAACAGTACCGCCCGTGAAGTGGTCAGGATTGTTGCAGGATCATCCTTTCCAGACATGTCACGCCCTCCTACTTTGCTTCGTTCAACACACACACACACACACACACACACACACACACACACACACGCGCGCGCGCGCGCGCACGTCATCTTGCCGCCTACTTGATCGTCGTGTATTCGCGAGAGAAACTGTTAATTATATCATGTGTAACAACACCAAGCCAGAAATTACCAATAAACAGCCCACAGCAAACATTGATCTTGCGCAAACACATACATGGGTACCACACAATACATATCCACCGAAAACACGGCCAATCCTAGCCTCTGATGCTTGCTACAAACCACTGGCCAACCACAAACTGCCAACGCCAACGCACCATACACTACTCACCCCCCCCCCCACATAGCCAACGGCACCCCATTCGCCCCATCAACTACTTCGAGACATCACTGGCTGCTCCCCAGCTGTTGTTGTTGTTGTTGTTGTTGTTGTTGTTGTTGTTGTTGTTGTTGTTGTTGTTGTTGTTGTTGTTGTTGTTGTTGTTGTTGCTGCTGGTGGTGGCGTTGCCTCTGTCTTTCCTTGAGTTTGCTCAGATTCGTTGGTCGTGGTGGCACGGGCGGCGCCGAAGCCGTTCGCGTTCGACTTCCCGATACGCGAGATGTGCTCATACGCCGGCTCGACAGCCGCGGCGCAAGCTTCGACACGTCACCTCCGCCTCGCCCAACACCAACACTAACACCAATGTTGCTGATGGTGGCACGACGCCCCTGTTGCTGCGGCTGCTGCTGTTGTTGTGGTTGTTGTGGTTGTTGTGGTTGCCGTGGTTGCTGCTGTGCGTGTTCACTGCCATGGGATACAGGCGCCTCGTAGTGCTCGTCCAGTCGCACGGGCGTTGGCATTGACACAAGCGATGCTGATGTCGTTGCATGTGTCGGTGGTGGAGGCGGAGGCGGCGGCGGCGGTGGCGGTGTACCAGGTGGGATGGGCGGCGTGCTGGGGAGAACAGGCGATGGCTCTTTCGCATGTGGCTGTCCATGATCCACGTCCCCGCGCTCACTCGCTGCATCAACGCCACCAACGTCACTGGCCGCCACCCGACCACCAGCATCAGCATCATCTTGCGTTTTTCCCATCACATCAGCTGCGCCCATGCCAACAAAACCGTACACGCTCTCCTTTGCTGCTGTTCGCGACTGCTGTGTCACCTGCTGCACCCCCAACTCTTCACCATAGTCAACGCAGTCATCGTCACCACCGCGATCCACATGTGCGTCATAATGGTCTCCACGCCCATTGTCGTTGCCGTCGGTGACGTCACTGCGCAAGTCTTGTGTGAGCGAGATTGGTACCACCGCATACGGGCTCACACCGTCTGCCTCCATGGCGACTTGTGCCGCGCGAAGTTGCGCCTCACCACCAGTGCCGTCGCCGTCTCCTGACAGCATCGCTGCTGCTGTTGTCGCTGGTGGTGGCGGTGGCGGCAGCGATGGTGGTGGTGGTGGGAGCGTACCTGGCGGCGGTGGAAGTGGCGGTGGTGTCGTTTCACGCCGTGGCATGCCCACGTGATCGCCACCACCACCACCACCACCATTAACACCACCGCTGGCGATACCCGCACCACCAGTGTACCTGCTGATGTTGATGTGTGAGGATGCAGCTGTGCTGTTTCTGCGACGATGTGCATCGGCCACAAACGCCGTGGCAGATGCGTGGCGCCCCATGCCAGTCGACGCCGACACCGACGTGTGGCGGAGGTTGCGCTGGTGCTGGTGCTGGTGCGGGCGTGTCAGCTCAACAGCTGTTGCTGATCGTGAGCGCATGGGGCTGTTGATTGGTGGCGGGAGTGGTCGTGACGACGAAGATGGCGGGGGGCGCGCTGGCAGTGGTGGCGGTCGCTCGCTCACACGCTGCTGTTGTTGTTGGTGCAGGTAGTGTTGGGGGAGGTATGAGCGTTGTTGCGCGTGGTGCTGTGGCGGCGGCGGCGGTGCACGGCGGGCGGGGCGGGGCTTCGGCGCGTGGATCTGAACAGCGGCAACCGACAGCACACCAACATGCATGCAGACACAACCATGCCGTAGGAATGAGGCTGCATATATTGAGCTAGAGCAAGGCCGACAAACAAGTCACAGCAGTTGTGTTTGCGACGCACTTGCACACACGCACACACACACGCACAGACGCACGCGCACGCAGAGTCAGAAACATACACACATCACACACACACACACACACACACACACACACACAGACGCACGCATGCCACGCACATCTTCCTCGCCGCCGAGATCAAAGTCGTCAATCTTTGCGTAGAGCGGGTCATCCTCGTCACTCTCATCATCAGCGCCATCACCGCTTGCACCGCCAGCGTTGCCAGTGCTGCCGGTGCTGTGCTGCTTGCTCTCGAACCCGTAATGGCTGCTGTTGGCAGTGCCAGCGTTGCGCGTTGGGAGCTCGCCGTGCGTTGTTGCTTCGTGCGCACCGTGTGCTTCGTATGTCATGTTTAGCGTCGTCCCTGGTCGCTGCTGCTGCTGCTGCTGCTGTTGTTGTTGTTGGTAGCGCTTTGCCGGCGTGGATGTGTCCATGTGTGAGCGCGTGGCGCGGAGCTGTGGCGGCGACATCACATGGCGTAGGGAGCTTGGCGGCGGTGGAGAAGTGCCTGCAGGCACGGGCGCGTGCGATCGGGCCTCAACAGCAGGCGACACATCGCGGGACGAGGGCGGGGACAGCAGCAGCGGCGTGGAGCGCCTGCACCACAAGATGAAAAGGAGAGAGAGGGCGTGTGTGTGCGCGCGTGAGTGTGAGTGAGTGAGTGAGGTGGGATAGGGGCCGAGCGGAGTGTGGACCCGTGCGCACACTTGTCTTCATGCGTGCGTGTGGCCCAGACCTGTCACTCGCTGGTGAGTGTGCGGATGACCCTGTCGCGTCCTCTCGTCGCCACGCCTGACGAAAACACATGGATGAAGGGTGTGGCCGAGGGTGGGTGATGGATGGTGGTGGGTGATGGATGGTGGTGGGTGATGGATGGTGGTGGGTGATGAGGTGGCGGCCGAAAGAAAAAGGAGGAAAACTTAAGCTGGCATGACACGGCCACAAAACACACCATACACACAACAACAACAACAACAACAACAACAACAACAGCAACAACAACAACAACAACAACAACAACAACAACAACAACAACAACAACAACAACAACAACAACAACAACAACAACAACAACAACAACAACAACAACAACAACAACATCATCATCATGATCATGTAGCACACGTGACAACATCAGGTGAATGTGAGTGTGTGCATGCATGCAGTTCAGACCTCAATGAAGATTGGCTGCTGGAGGACAGCCTCCATGTCCCCATCACTGTCGCACAGCAGCAGCGGAAACACCAAAGTGTGAGGAGCACCGATGATGGATAATCGCGTGGACGGAGAGCGATGGGTTGAGGAAGAGGAAGAGGAAGAGGAAGAGGAAGAGGAAGAGGAAGAGGAAGAGGAAGAGGAAGAGGAAGAGGAAGAGGTTGAGGAAGATGAACGGGAAGGAATGGAGTAAAGGAATGGAAAACGATAACAGCAACAGCAGCAAGGCAGCAACAGCAACAACAGCAGCATCAGACCTGACTGCGGCGAGCAGGTAGGAGCAGCCGATGCTCGAAAATGCCTGAGCAATGCTCGCTGGCGTGTCCCCGTTCTGGTCGCGCGCGTGAATGTCCGCACCAAAATGTAACAGCTGCGAGCACACATGGAGTGAAGCGTGAATGGGGTGACGCGTGTGTATGAATGTATGTGCGAAACATGTGTGTGTGTGTGTGCGTGTTTGCGTGTGGGATGTGCTGTTTGCGACGCACCAGCTTTGCACACTCGACGCGATCCATCTGGCAGGCGACGTGGAGCGGGGTGTGGTGCTGCAGGACCTGATATCACACGCAATGGAACACATGCACCATCGGTGGTAACGCGTCAATGCGAAGGCACAGGCGCATGCAGACAGCAGCAGCACGCACTCATATATTGACACACACACACACACATCCTTCCTTCTCACGCAGACACACTTATTCACTTACACACACACACACTTATTCACTTACACACACAGTTATACACTTACACACACACACACACAGACACACAGACACACCACACACACACGCGCGCGCAGAGTCACCAACACGTTCACAGCAACATGCCACCCAGCCCCCTCCCATAAATAACGCCCTCCGTGAACGCAGTACACACCCCGTTGGCGCTGGTGCCGTTGAGGAGGAGAAAGGCGACAGCGAGGGCGTTCCCCTCCGCAATGAGAAGATGCAGCGCTTCAAGGCCATCGCGCCCGTGGACATTCGCACCAGATACGAGCTGGTGCAGCAGAACAACACACACGCCACAGTCCGCGTACGCGTTGTCGCGAAGACACCGTGTCAATGGCGTCTGCTGCTGTTGTGGCGGCAGTGGGTGTGCGAGAGGGAGATGAATGTGGATGTGGTTGAGCGTGAGTCAGCATCATCAGTGAGATGCTGCATGTTGTTTGTTTGTACGTGCGCGTGTATGCGTGTGTGTGCGCGTGTATGCGTGTGCATATTTGTGTGTGTGTGTGTGTGTCTGGATGCGCAGGCGCAAAGCGCAATACTACGACTCCTCACCATGTTTGGCTGCAAGTTTGCGAATGCAAATGCGCCGTATTTCTTGCGGATGAACGCAGCGCGGTCCTCCTGTGTAGTGGAGCGGGCCTGTCCAGACCATCGCGGTTCCAGCACCCCATTGCCAAGCTCGTTTCCAATCGCCTGGCAACAGCATCCATCGCACGCGTGCATCAACGTTGTGCATGTCAAACGCACAAGTACACGAACAGGTGTGTGTGTGTGTGTGAGTGAGTGAGTGTGTGAGTGTGTGAGTGCGTGAGTGTGTGAGTGAGTGAGTGTGTGTCAGGGAAGTTGCGTTTGTTCCTTGCCATATCGATGGAACGGAAGAGAACTGCTACCATCACCTCCATGACTGCCACTGCTCACCCGAACTAAGAAGAGATGGAGAGCAGACATGGATGTGTCCTTGAGGTTCACAATCCGTCGAGAGTGGTCTGGGCCAGCCAATATAGACCCTATGTGTGCGTGTGCGTGCGTGTGCGTGTGTGTGCGTGTGACGGGGGAAGCAAGGGAAGTAAGGTGTAAAACCATGCAGCCGGTGTCATGCAAGTACGTACACATGTAGACACACATGCAAACACGCATGCACACACACATACACACACACATGT